ATACATCAACAAGGAAACAGCTGTTCAAACCTAGATTTAGCCTTGGCTAAGAGTTTGCTTCCGGCCCATATTCTTAGCTTAGTCTGAGACACTGAGCTAGACAAGAGGTGGGACAGCCAGGTCGTAGCCATTGATGTGTGATAACTGTTTGGCACTCAAGATACCTTTACACTGAAAGCAAACAGCGCGAGAGTTTGTCTGCTCTGGTCATGTGAAGCATAAGTAGAGAGTCATGCGCTTAGCTAGTCACTCGACACCTTCCAAGCAAACCAATGCAAGCCAGACTGCAGCCAGCCCGGCTAAATGGCATTGGCCTGGCCAATGAAGCGTCGCTGTTTGGCTAAATCCAGCAAAGGGTATTATACATAAGTAGAAATATACATATATGCATATGTATGTGTATAAGGATGTTGGGCTCGCTTGGCTGGCTGGCTCGGTTTTCTAGGAGCGGGGTCATTGGCATATCCTCACGGCGATCGGTGCCAAGAGACAACGACAATCGATAGGCATCGATGAGGGTGCCAAGTAGAATTCATGGGCCATTGAAATTTATGTTGTGTGTGAGTGTGTTTTTTTCTCCCCTGTTTCTTTGTTTCTACTTTAATCGCAGCTTGGGTTCAACTTCGTTTAGTTTTTTCGTTCTTGAATACATAATTTCTGTGACCGCTGACTGTGTGACACACTTAGCCGTGACGCTCGCCTTGGATGCTGGGATTGGTTTCAGCTCAGGGTTCGGTCGTCTCTTGAAATGCTCGCTGGGCATAATTAAAATTTATGACCAATGCGCTTTCAGTCAATTCATTAGCCGCCTTCTAGTCGCGGCTTAATTAAAAAGTTTCATAAATTTTCAACTCAAATCATATACGCACCTGTTGCGCTATCGATAAAATCTAGATAGAAATGTGCATGTATGTGTGTGTGAGTGAATGCCATAAAACGCTGGAATTAAGCACTATATTATCTGATTTTGTTTTTGGAAGAGCTTTGCTTCATACAAGTATAAAATATATGCTAAATTGATGCTAAAGCAGTTTCAATTAAAAATCATTTTATTGATTGTTTTTGGCAGTAAAGTTTTGTCAACCGAGAGATGAATGAGAGCCGACCAGAGCCAGTCAAAATAGCTTATAAATAAATGTAGAAAATGAGTAGAAAGAAGAGTGTTTAAATTTAGTCTTGTCTACTAGAGTGGAGTACTCTAAGCTTGTCTAGAGTGCTCAAGTCTAAAGTGCTCTCTCCCAGTACTCCACTAGAGGATACTACTAACCTAGACACCTCTGGCCTTTGTAGCTGTTATCTAGCTTATATCCGAAGAAATGGATAGAGCTGCCCAAGATGTGAGTGAGTTGATCTGAATTTATTTATCCATAATTTCATATAAATACTAAAGTTGTCGATTAGTTGAATGCAAATTTAACCCAGGCTTACTGTAACGGAATTGAACTCTGAAGTTTTCAGATTTAAGCCTTTATAGCTCTGCTGTTTTTGGGTCTTTGGCTATAAATCATGAGCATATCCTGCTCAGCCTAAGCAGTCATATCAAACGAAGCCCTCAAAGGCCGCACAATGCATTGAGTTTTAATGAGAGGCAAAGCCACATTAATGACTATACATAGTACGTATATATATGATGTGTATAAGCATATATAGGTAAGCACAGTCAAGTCCCTACTCAGGGACACAGTACAGCTCGCTCCATACGTGATTAGCATGCCAAGAGCGAAGAGCGAGGCGAGTCTGACTGCGAGCAGTTGACAGTTGTCAAATCCACTTACGCTCCTCATGCTAAACACTTTGTGACGAGCCTGCTGAAGGATTTATTTAAGTGCAGACAGAGCGACAGACAGACCAGGAGACTAATAAGTGCGGCCCGGCATACATTAAATAAAATTGAGCACATACACAAGCATGTGTGTAGGTACACTTGCTCCCAAAAGAGATAACTGCAGTCAGAGCTGGCAGCTGTTGTTGTTTGGGTACCTGTTGCTCGCCTATTTATTGGGGAATGTTAATGAAATGTTTATAGTTCAATATAGGAAACGTTTTCAACTAGCTTTGAGAGCCAAAGAACAAAGTATATAACCAAACAACTAGAAAAAAAAAAAGAAACAGCTGCACAAACCAACTAAATTCAACTCATTTGTCAGCCGAAAAATAAAAGAAAATTAAGTTTAGTTAAGACGAAGCTTGAATGCACTTTAAACACACTTACAAAAAATAAAATAAATAAATAAATTAGTTAAACTTAAAGGAAATTTTATGCATATACAAATTTGCTAATCTTTTTTGATTAGCCGAGTCAATAGTTCTAGAGTTCTACAGGGCATTCAGTCATAAAAGGCATTGGCATTGACTGCATGCAATACAGCCAACAGCCAAGAACCAGATGCCAACTGTTTCAATAAGGCTAAAGTAAATTGAAGGTTTTTATTTCTCTGCTAAATGTTCAGCTGTTTTCTGAACCCGGGCTTCGACTCTTCTGAACTGCCAGCTGTACTTTTAGCCACATATTGACACAACACAGCAGTCGGCGGCAAGAAACTAGTTTTCTTTACAATTTGTTTTCGAATTATTCTTAACTTGCGCGTGGCACTCAAAATAAAAACAAAATAAAACTACGAAAGTAGAAAATAAAGTTTAATTAATTTAATGGGAATATATTATTATGATGTCAAAGCAAGAGCAATCCTAATAAATTAAAACAAAAGAAAGATGATTTCGATTAAATAATGTTACAATTGAGCAGAGCTTAAACTAAATTTCTTATTTAGTTCTGAAACTTATGAAGATCTGATAAATTATTTGAATTTTCTTCTACTTTTAAGTTGATTGATGAAACCGAACATATTTCTATTACAATTCCACCGAGTAAACATCGAACTGAATCGATTTGTAATAATAGATARATAGATGGATAGAATAATAAAAAATTACCAATTTTCTATTTACGATTCATAGAGTGTAGAAGTACGTAACAATAAGTAAAATAGGAGAATTTCAGTACATGCACTTGAAGATACCCTAATTGAGGAAAACAAGCTAGCTGCGTGCATTTAAAAATATGTGGGTATGTTAGTAGTAGTAATAGTAATAGTAGTAATAGTGGTAGTAGTAGTAGTAAAAGTAGTAATAGTATCCGTTAGAGTAGTAGTAGTAGTAGTAGGAGTAGTAATAGTAGTAGGAGTAGTAATAGTAGTAGTAGTAGCAATAGAAGTAGTAGGAGTAGTAATAGTAGTAGTAGTAGCAATAGAAGTAGTAAAAGTAGTGATAGTAGGAGTAGTAATAGTGGTGGTAGTAGGAGTAGTAATAGTAATAGTAGTAGGAGTAGTATTATTATTAAATATTAAAATAAATAAATTTAAAAAAAAAAAAACAAAAAACAAAACAAAACACTTCAAAGTTTTCCTTTCTAAAGAAGATATTCAGAGTAACATCTGCCCAAAAATTGCTATTAATACTCTATGACTAGCATTGTCCAGCAACCAGTATACCCGCCAGCTGACAAATTGAAGCAGGGTGTAGCAAATACATCTGTGAAATAATTTCACACTATGAGTGGAAATCCGTCAGCCTCGTTGGCATTTGACTTTGACAATTGATGGCCCGCACATTTGTCTTTCACTTGTTGCGCTTTTTGTTAGCCAAGTTCCCCTTTATGGCCAACTTCCCGTTTCGTGAGTGTTCGTGTTGCTTTTGCTGTTTTGCCGTATGCCGTATGCTGCTCGATGTTTGTTGTTTGCTGTTTACTGTTCACTGTTTGCCTTTGCATTTGATTTTGGCTTTGGTTTTTGCTTTTACTCTGCACTTGGCCACATTGTCTGGCTCCGACGGCCTTTTGAAGTGGGCCCGTTTTGACAAATGTGTGTCATTGCTGGCTGGGACCATCAAAGAGTCGATCGATCGTTGATTCGTTTGATTTTGATTTCTGTTGTGGCAAGATTTATATACACACACATATCTATATATATACATATACATTGACWGTTGATGGAACAAACGTAAACGGTAAATCGTGGCTGAAGTGAACGGCATGTGGGACTCGATGAGATGCACGATCTGTTCAATACAAAACGTACAAAAGGTGAATCGGCAAACAATTAACTGCTTACCTGTTCAGAGAGAACCCAGAAACCCAACTAGTTTAAATGACTCTGCAAAGCCGTTAGAGATCTATTCGACTGCCTTTGTAACCAAGAAGCTATTTAGAGTAAACGCATTGCCGCCGATTCTTAACAAGTTAAAAATGATCACAGCTAAATTATTTCATTGAATGCTTTATATAGCTTTAATAGATAAATGACTGATGTTGAAATTTTACATTCTATAGTTTATATATGTAATAGGTGAAGAATACTTCATAAATCTTCATAAAGTTTCTCATATTCAGATTTTCAAGCAACTGATAGGTTGACTCATATGAGCAATGGAACTCAGTTGGGACTAACTCGATTTTTTATTCAGACTATGCATATGATATTTTTGTATATTTATTTTGTAGATAATAATTTTCCGATAACTATAAGTCCTATAATTTTTTTATCAGCTTATACAAATCTTTGATATTTTTTGTCAAGATATTATCGATCACTAAAACAGACCTAGAAATAAATTCTAATATCATACTATATTTTCTATATAGGAAATTTTTATATTCGCTCTATAATACTCTTAAATTTTAACAACACTTTTAGAACACCTAAAAGTACACTCCATAGTTAGAGTAATTCCAACTCAGTCAAGCACATATTGATATCTTTTGGTCAAGTTGGCCAATCTTATCAACTGTCTTTCAATTGAGTTTTGGCAGTAAGCGAGCTAAGAACCGTGTGTGCTTTTTTCTGGGGATAACGAATCTATATCAATTCTATTTGTTACTCCCCCAAGAGGAGCGCTAAATTTCCAGGAAGTTAACTGCAATCTAATCAGTGTCAAAAGCAAATGACTCATTGCTCATTGTGCTGGGTCTATCACTATAAAGTGGACAGTGCGAATAATTGACTCTTTAGTCAAAGTAGTTCGATTGAACGAGATTGTCGACATGGGAGTTCTGCAGATTGTGTTGTCGCTGCTGTGCGTGAGCGTGGCCACCGCTGAGGTAGCAACGGTATATAAGAAGTATCCTGCCAACTGCAAGGATGCCAAGGCCAAGAAGAATGGCATCTACAAGATACAGCTAAATGGCGGCGAGCCCTTCGATGTCTACTGCGATGCGACGCTCAATGGCACCGGCTGGCTGGTCATCCAGCGCCGTGTCGATGCCAGACTTAACTTCTTCCGCAATTGGTCCACGTACCAGCAGGGCTTTGGCGAGCTGAACGGCAGCTTCTTCATTGGCCTGGACAAGCTGAATGCTCTAACTACGAATCAGCGCAACGAACTCTATGTGCACCTGGAGGACTTTCAGGGCCACACTCGCTTCGCCAAGTACAATGCGTTTGCCATTGGCAACGAGGCGAATCTCTATGGCCTAAATACCCTGGGCAGCTATTCCGGCACGGCTGGCGATGCGCTCAGGTATCAGCAGTACTCGAAGTTCAGCACCTTCGATCGCGACAACGACAACAGCACCAGCAACTGCGCTGCTCAGTTCTCAGGTGCCTGGTGGTATAACAGCTGCATGTACAGGTAAGTCATGATACGATATATCTATATAAATCATCAAATATATATATATATATATATCTTTGATTTCTCCAGCAATCTGAATGGCGAATACTTGGGCGGCGAGTACGGAAACGCTCTGGCTGGGCGTGGCGTCTGCTGGGTCCAGTGGCTGGGCGTTAACTATTCGTACAAGCGAGTGCAAATGATGATACGTCCACTGAAATAGATAATACGCAGATAATGCCCAACGACTTTGACTGCCATAGATCTTGTGATCCAGGGGAAAATGTGTTTAGATTTTGATGTAGGATCATTTGGTCCGCTGACAGCTGTTCCAGTCACGATCTGTAAATTCCGCATAACTTTGTCAAAATGTTCGCTCCCGACAGTTTGTCGGAGCCGACCGAAAATAGAAACTCTTAATTGCGAGTATTACGTTGAAAATGATACCAATAAACACAGAGCCCGAACGACAAAAACTAAAGAAAAATATCTGTTTTGGACACAAAATTAGAACAAAATGCGACGTCTTCACGCACTAAATGTCTTATGTTTGTACTATATGAATCTGTAGCTGTATCTGTGTGTGTATCTGTGCATCTGTATGTATGTCTGCTTAACAATATTCACTGTGGCGACAGCTAAGAAATTCTATATAAAAAAAAAAAAAATAAGAAGAAATAGCCACGAATGTCTAGAACAATATTTGAGCGAACATTTTGAAACAACATTTCCAAAAAACTCACACGGCACAGACCATGGCAGCGACAAAGACATTTTCATTACTCATGCGTCCCTTAGGCGAAAGGGTATTTCGAATCTCGAACAAATTGCCGAGCAGCCAAGAGTTTATCAGCTATTGAAAAATGTTGAATATGGCCTTAGAGAGATGTTACAAATAAATGGGAAATGTGCAATGGGTGTAAAAACTAAGTATTGTAGGGTATTTAGAGTAGCATTAAAATTTAACTAAGAATTATGTTACCTTCTAAATCTATTGAAAATTTACTAAAATATATTGAAACAACTAATATAATAAAATTAAAAAAGACATACTATAAAAGCATTACAAATATACTGAAGTATAATAAAACATGCTGAATATACGCTTGCAAAAATACAGAGAATGTATAGAATATATACTAAAAGTAATTAATTATATGTAAAGTGTTGTGTAAAACTAGTCTTGGCTTTTACAATTAAACCGATATTTACTTTGAGCCAATCCCTAACCAAAGAGCGGATTTATAAATTATTATTATTATTAACTCCTAAATATTTCCCATGTGCAAAGAAATAAAGCTTTAAAAAATATTTAAGCATATTTTAAATTAAAATCAGGCTGTTATAGAAGTATAGGGTATTACAAGTGCATCAAAGCTAATAAATACTAATGAATACTTGTTATACAAAACAGAGAAAAACATATTCTATATTCTATATTCTATATTCTATATTCTATATTCTATATTCTATATTCTATATTCTATATTCTATATTCTATATTCTATATTCTATATTCATATTATTCCAGGTAGTTCAGTGTGCTTTATAAAAAAAATTAAAATTAAACAGCTTAAACTCGATTATTATCGAGAAAGGGCATTTAAAGTGCGTTAAGAGCTTCGTTTTTGCTGCAGCTCTTAGCTTTTGTCGTTTTAATTTCACCAGGAAGTGTGGAAATATTTGAGCAACGCGCCTCATTTCAAAACCCATCAACGGCGACACGGAGGCAGCCAGAACCTCGGCACAATTTTCATCATTTCAGTCAAAGAAATTAAGATTTTTGATGCCTCCCCAAGCGGAGTAGCTGAGAGTGTCTGACTGCCAGAGTGTGTGTGTAGGTGTGCGTAGGTGTCGCACTCTCACTCTGCATATGTGTGTGCGTATGTGCGTGTGTGTGTGAGTGTGGCGCTGTCAACTGCTGTTGAAAGATTTTCATGTTGCTGTTTCCATGCCGCCTGCCAGCAGGCGACAGACACGAAATTCTTGAAAAACATTTTTAAAACATTTCCATTTTTTTTTTCAAATATTTTTTTTTTTTTTTTTTTTTTTTTTTTTTTTTTTGCTTGTTGCCTTCGTACGTAAAAGATTTAGCAATAGCAATGAATTTAGTTAATTTATGGCATTATTAATGACATTTTGAAATATTAACAGAAAATAAGAAAAGAGCGCGACATTTTCTTTAACTACATTTTCTTTTTTTTTTTAAATACAAATATAAATCTATTTCTCTTTTTTTATTTTTGCCTTTCTTTTAAAGTCATGTGAGCGCCGTATTAAAAAAAAAGAATGGATATATATAATGTTTGATATCCGTTCTTTTTTATTGTGTCTGTGTGTGTGTGTGTGCTTGGAATTAGCATATGAATATTTTAAACAATAGGAATTTCACTGGGTCACTCAGTTAGCCATCGATAAACATATTTTACTCGCCGTATAGCTAGGCCAAAGCAATAAATATGCAGAATAGTTTGACATTCTGAATGGCACGAGCTAATCAACCTGCATAAAATGCAAATAGCTACACAAAATAAAACAAAACAACAACAAAACATGAAAAACCAATACAACAAAGATATGTTAAAAATAAAATGTAAAATACAAAAACAAATTTACGATTCAATCAATAGAATCGATCAGGGTCTTATCGAAGTGCTATAAAAATGTTAAAGCTCCTCTTGAATTTCTTTAGTGGTTTCGTATATTTTCATACAATTGTATAGGGTATTAAAATGCTGTCATAAAATGTGATACGCATCAAGTTAATGCCATCAAAAATAGACTCGATCTATATTCTAACAATTGAGTTAATTTTGCCAAAGTTTATTTTAGTCAGCTTCGGATTAACCAAGTATAGATATATCGGGTTGACTTAATGATATTGTATTACTATAACAAAAGATTTAGAAATTGTCTATAAATTTGATTGGCTATAGAGATAAAAGTTTGGTTTTTCTACTTGCGTTTTGACAGCTAAGTTTTTATCCCCCCGCGATCTTATCTTTATCAAATTAAAAATATATTTTATAGCTCTGCTAAACGTTAAATTTTGACAGCATGAAGTCAGTTATCTACAATATGATTTGATTAGAAATTGATATCAAAACTATACATGGATAAATATGTAAGTTGGGTATAAAGCTTATTAAAATGTATAAAAATAATAGAGAGCAGAAGAAGAGGGTTGGAGGCAGCATGAGCAATCCTATTTCAAGGGATTCCAAATGAAAATTTAAAATCAAGCCAAGACTGTGAGGTCTGTTATATATCTGCCTGTTCCCACAGACAGCTAGAAAGATTGCCAGAATCGTAGAGTATCCAGTAGTCACTCCTACCCGCATTGCCTAATATTTTTGTGTGTCTTCAGCTGCTTTAGTTAATGTCACTAAACGAGCGACACAAAAGAAATTTACATTCACACACAAGAACAAAGTTTGGCATATTTTGCATAAATTTATTTGGCTTTGGGTCGCGACGTTCGGTTCCGATGGCCCATGGCAACCCAATATATTCATTCATTCATTATATGSTATAGCATTCATATGGACTGTCGGTTAGAGATTTGACAAAAACTTTCAGCTCTAATCAAAAATTCCATAAGTGCTGCCGGAACAGATAACCTGCGCCTGTTATTGAGACGTTTAATTAATGCTATGCGAGATGAGATTTCGAATTTGTTCAATTCATTTAAATAAAACAGAACAAAAAAGATGTTAACACTCTTATATATATTAATTCAACTATGTATATAATCTAAAGCAAATCGACTGCGTGTGCACATTCTTGGCAAACAACTTTGATCCCATTAAATATATAGATTTAGCTTTTCAAAATATGCTGATTAAAAGTTTTTAGGGATGGAAAATACCATTAATCTTTATAAATTAAAAATATGGGCGTAAAAAAACCTTGCTTTGTATTTATGTAATTTAAGCATTTTAGATACAATAAATTTACTGAAGTTGCATAATTTCAAAATATTTATATTTTGAATTTTTATATTTTATAACCGAAATGATATTTAGAACACTTTAAACGCATTTGACATCTTTATTGGCCCCAAAACGTATCCATGAATTTCAATGTCAAAAGCAAGTAAATAATTCCATTAAATTATACAGACACATACGTATAATCTCTAGTTTAAAATTCGTTCTAAAATGAAACTAAAAAAAAAAAAAATTCATAGCGAGCGTGTCATTCATATTTTTGGATTGACTGGTCTGCAAAAAATAAATCATATTTTTAACAACACTAAATTTAAAATAATATATAAATCGTTTTGTGGCATGTCATATTTATATGTGTATATACTAAATATTTTAGTATGAAATTTATTAATACAAAAATTAAATTGAAACGTTTTATTTTTAAATCATAAAAAATTATAAAAGATAAAGTTGGGCAAACAACATTTAAGTAATTAACAACAAAATCAAATTGAAAGTACTACATCTTTGCTATAAACTTATTACTAGAAGGGGAATAAATTAATTTTATTTTACAATCAAACATATATGATTAAAATATTTTTTATTTAATTGTTCAGGCTTGGTTAGTGTTTTTACTCTCTCTTCTTTCTCGCTATCTCCCTCTATGCCTCCCATTTATCCATCGCTCTCTCTCTCTCCCACTCGATCTTAACCAAGCGCATGAACAATGTCATCAAAAAGCAGCAGCACCAACAACAATAGCAACCTCCATAATCTTAGTCAATTAAAATCATTCGTATGCATATATAATTTGCATAAAATCACCTGAACATTAAATATTTATTTGCAGCTTATTCTATGAAATGCTCATAAAGTTCAAGATAAAGCGCCAAAGCCGGAGTTTTTTCTTTTTTAATGTGAAACGAGACCGAACTTGAAATAAGATAAAACAACACTGTAAAAAATTCGGGTACATGATATTATTTCTAAATATGCAGAATTAAATTAAATATTAGCTAGAATTAAATATGAATATGTAAATTAAAAATCTAATTTAAAATAATTATAATTTTAAATTTTGCATTATTTTTGTATTTTAATTTTGTAATTTATTATACATTAAATATTTTACATGCAAGACAGGGCAACATTTAAAATAGTTAGTTTATTGTTTGATTTCCTATTTGTATAATACTTCCATATTTAACTTTCACATCTATAATAAAACCTCATTTATCCCTTTTTATGGCTGCAGGGTATACACATTCATACATAAAAAGTCCATGACTCTAACTTATGGGCGTCACCAATAAAATTCAACTGATTTGCATAAATCAACCGAAAAATATTCAAACTCTTTTACATTTTTAATGAACCAAAAAAAGGGTGAAAGAACATATTCGTGTACTCCTCTTTTATCGTCTATGACCTTTATCGATTTATGTGCGTTATAAACATAAATTTTATGACGTTAAGTCAAAAATTGTGTCGACGATTAGATGTTAATTAAAATGCCAATAAATTGATTTTAAAGTGCTTGGTATT